ACCCACCGGTTTTGGACCCTCCGCTATGGGTAGGGTCGCGCATGTGCTCATGCGTGCGTTTAACTACTATGGTGTGTCATCTAAGGGCCGTCGAGGTCGCCGGTTCGGACCGAGACCCCGACGGCCGTCGACTGTGCATTTAGCTAATCGGTGGCTGGGAGCGGTGAGAACCGCCCCGGAACGCGGATGTACCTTGTGTACGCGTTGTGTGGGTTTCGCCGTGCTCGGAGGCGAGGGCAAACTGGTGTGATTGTTGTTACACTACCTGTGGGTGTAGTGTTATCCGGCGGACCCCCGGCGGTGGGTCCATCGTATCTAAGTCCTCTTCGGCGACCGGGTCGATGAGGACGTTTCGCGGGCGACGTGTGTGTACGTTCGCGTTTGTGTACGGTTAGTACTTTGCTGCGCTTACCACCAGAGGGTTGGGATGATGCTGGACTCTATCGAAGAACCGTTTTGTCAAATCTTTAAAATGTGCGCGAATCGTCGGGAGTCTGCAATCGCTGTGCAGGTCGACGTTGCGCTGATACCACTGCGCACCGGTTGCGCGGCGGATAAACTTATTTTGTACTATTTGCAACTTGTACAAGCGAGTAGGGTGCGTGTGGGCGAAGATCATGCATGCGTAGGACATAATAGGTCGTACGCAGGTCTTATATAATAATAATTTGTGCCTTAAGGACATTTTACTTTTAGCATTAGTTAAATTGTGTAGCCGGCCGGAGACGACCGCGGCTCTATTACGAACGTTATTAATGTGCGTAGTAAATGACATACGCGAGTTGAAAGTGACTCCTAAGTATTTGACCTTTTTCTCCCAGGGGAGCGGTTGGCCATAAAGGGATATTTGCCCCAACTTTCTGCATTGGCGAGGGCCATTATAAAGATGTGACGGGTAGGTACTACTTCGTGTGAAGTGAATCGCCACACTCTTTTCGGGATTAATATCGATTCTCCATTTGCGGAACCAATCGCCGAGGCGGTCGGCAGCGCTTTGGAGTCGAGTCGTTAATTGACTGAGGTTGCGGTCTGAGTAAAAGAGCGCCGTGTCATCCGCGAAAAGCGCGAGATTGACGTGGGGGTCTCTAGGTATGTCGCTCGTGTAGAGCGTAAATAGCAAGGGTGAGAGGCAGGAGCCTTGTGGTACGCCGGCCGTGAGGCGGCGGCTTGTGGAGAGGGTGCCCTCGATTCGATATCGAAAAGAGCGGTTCAACAAAAAGGCCCGGATGGTGTGTACAAGCCTATCTGGCACTTTGAGTGTGTACAGCTTGTAAAGCAAGCCGTTGTGCCAGACTTTGTCGAATGCTTTTGCGACATCGAAGAAGAGAGCCCCTGTACTAATGTGTTTGGGGTGGTTAAGGGCTTTTAGGATGTGCTCCGTTAGGCGGTATAACTGATCGGGACAAGAGTGTCTAGCTTGAAAGCCGAATTGTTCCGTCGGCAGGAGGCCGTTGGAAAATACGTGCTCTTTGAGCCTGTTTAACAAGAGCCGCTCGTAGAGCTTCCCCAGGCAACTGAGGAGGCTGATGGGACGATAGCTAGAGGGCTGATTGGCTGGTTTTTTTCGGCTTGCGAATGCCGATAACCGTGGCTTGCTTCCAGTCGTCCGGAAAGGAGCAACTGGAGAGAAGGGTATTGAAAATGGTCGCCAGTAAACAGATAAGCGGCCCAGGGAGAGCTTGAGAATCTTATTACTTATATTATCTGGGCCCGAGGCGGATTTTGGTTTTAAATTTTTAATAATATCTTGGACCTCTACGGGGGTCACTGAATTTAAAGGTTCGCCTTCCGGTGGAAGCGCAGCCCTAGTCTCGATTACGCGGTCCACCTCCGTTAGGTGGACTGAATCGGTGTGTTCGCACGATGGCGTACATTGCTGCTCTAGGTTGTCCGCAAGGCATTCGGCTTTTTCGGAGTCATCTAGGGCTACTGAAGCGCTATTAGGTCTAACTAACGGCGGTAGAGATTCGCGGGGATCTGCTTTCAGACTGCGGGCCAACCGCCAGTAGGCGGTGTGCGATGGCTCGATGTCCTCTAGGAGAGTGTCCCACGTTGTGTGTCGGTGTTCCGATACTCGATCTTTGACTTCTAGCTGAAG